CTCCATCCATCCTCCTGCCTCAGCCTCTGGAATAGCTGGGGTGCAGATACGCCCCAGCCCGAACAGGGTTTCACTAGGTTGCCTGGGCTCTTTCTTTTTGCTTGCTTGAACCCGGGAGGCGGAGGCCACTGCACCCAGCCGCTTCGGATGATCTTAAATGCACAGTCTGAGGCCAGGCATGGTGGCTCACACCTGTAATCCCAGCACTTTGGGAGGTCGAGTGGGGCGGATCACCTGAGGTCGGGAGTTTGAGATCAGCCTGACTAACATGGAGAAACCCCATCCCTACTAAAAATTCAAAAATTATCTGGGTGTGGTGGTATATGCCTGTAATCCTAGCTACTTGGGAGGCTGAGGCAGGAGAATCTCTTGAACCTGGGAGGCACAGGTTGCAGTGAGTCGAAATTGCGCCATTGCACTCCAGTCTGAGCAACAAGAGTGAAACTCTGTCTCAAAAAATAAAAATAAAAAAATGAAAATAAAATTAAGAGGTAGACGCTAGGCTTGAGTTCAGCATTAGAAATCTCCAGAGCTAGGGTGTCTTCTAAGAAATCCCTTTGCATTCTGGGGTCTCAGACCTCAGTGAGGCTTAGTAGGATTTTGTATTTTCTTTCTTTCTGACTCAGCACAGACATTTATGGGGGAGATGGGGAGAGGAGAGATTAAGGAGAAAAAGGTAATTCCGGAGACCTAAGTGGGGAGGGATGAGCAGAGGGAGAGTCAGATGATGCTGGAAGCCCCTGAGGAAGAGTGGGGGAAAGAAGCCAGAGAGAAAAGACTTTACTGCTGAATTTTCCATGGAGCCCACTGAGACTCAAAGCTAAGGTGGGAAGGTCTTCCATCTGTTCAGCACCCAGGAGAGAAAGGTACTTTGCAGATGTTCCCTGGGAGCCTTGGGAAAAACGCCTCCCTTCCTCAACAAAGCAGGTGGGGCCTGCCCAGTTGCCCTGGCAGTAACCACATTGTGAGGTGGTTCCAGTTACAGGCAGAGGGGTCTGAGTGGGAAGAGACAGAGGTGGTGGGAGCAGTGGGCTCTGCTTGTCCCCACCCCCACCTGGGGCCTCACACCATCCCACTATCATGGGTAGTGCCTACCACTGGGAGGCCCGGCGCCGGCAGATGGCTTTGGACCGAAGGAGGTGGCTGATGGCCCAGCAGCAGCAGGAGCTGCAGCAGAAAGAACAGGTGCATGGGATAGGCTGGGTTCTTCAGGGTCCTTTCTGGAGTAGGAGGGCAATGGAGAATGGAGACAGAACCCTAGGAAGCTGCCTACTATTTGGTGAATGTTGTTTGCTGGGGGTAGGAGGAAAGCAAGGTCATTTGGCGTTCTCTCAGATAGACTGTGTCTGTGTTGGGGGGAACACTACAAGCTAACTCAATTTCCCTGTTGTAATAGACTTGGGGAGGGCAAGTGTACTAGGCCTGGGAGGTTTAAAGATGTTCTGTCCAATAGGGTAACCCCCAGCCTGTGTGCTATATTGAGCTTTGGAGTGTGACTGAGAAACTAATTTTTTTTTTTTTTTTTTTTGAGACGGAGTTTTGCTCTTGTTGCCCAGGCTTGAGTGCGATGGTGCGATCTCGGCTCACCGAAACCTCCGCCTCCCAGGTTCAAGTGATTTTCCTGCCTCAGCCTCCCAAGTAGCTGGTATTACAGGCATGCACCACCACGACTGGATAATTTTGTATTTTTAGTAGAGATGGGGTTTCTCCATGTTGGTCAGGCTACTCTCGAACTCCTGACCTCAGGTGATCCGCCTGCCTCAGCCTCCCAAAGTGCTGGGATTGCAGGTATGAGCCACCATGCCCAGTCAGTTTTACATAAATTTAATGTAGTTTTTAAAAATGTTATTTTGGCTGGGCGTGGTGGCTCACACCTGTAATCCAGCACTTTGGGAGGCTGAGGCCGGTGGATCACTTGAGGTCAGGAGTTCAAGACCAGCCTGGCCAACATGACAAAACCCGGTCTCTACTAAAAGTACAAAAAGTAGCTACACATGGTGGCGCATGCCTGTAATTCCAGCTACTTGCGGAGGCTGAGGCAGGAGAATCACTTGAACCAGTGAGGTGGAGATTGCAGTGAGCCAAGATGGTACCACTGCACTCTGGCCTGGGTGAAAGAATGAGACCCTGTCTCAAAAAAAAAAAAAAAAAAAATTAAAAATTTTATTTTATTGTAATAGAGACAGGGTCTCACTTTGTTGCCCAGGCTGGTCTGGAACTCCTGGACTCAAGCAATCCTCCTACCTCAGCCTCCCAAACTGTTGACAGGTGTGAACCACCATGCCTGGCCTTGAATTAATTAATTCACTCATTTATTTATTTATTTTTTTGAGACGGAGTCTTGCTCTAGTCTTGCTCCCAGCCGGGCACGGTGGCTCACACCTGTAATCCCAGCACTTTGGGAGGCTGAGGCAGGTGGATCACCTGTGGTCAAGAGTTCGAGACCAGCCTCACCAACATGGTGAAACTCCATCCCTACTAAAAATACAAAAATTAGCTGGGCGTGGTGGCACGCACCTGTAATCCCAGCTACTCGGGAGGCTGAGGCAGGGGGATTGCCTGAACCTGGGAGGCGGAGGTTTCAGTGAGCCAAGATCACGCCATTGTACTCCAGCCTGGGCAACAAGAGCAAAACTCCATCTTAAAAAACAACAATGGCCGGGCGTGGTGGCTCACGCCTGTAATCCCAACACTTTGGGACTTTTGAAGACTTAGTATGAAAACAAAGAATATAAAATACTTCATTGATATGTTCATATTGATGTTTTGGATGCATGGGGTTAAGTAAAATACATTATTAGGTCGGGCGCAGTGACTCATGCCTGTAATCCCAGCACTTTGGGAGGCCAAGGCGGGCTGATCGTTTGAGCCCAGGAGTTTCAGACCAGCCTGGTATCATGGTGAAATCCATCTCTAAAACAAATACAAAAATTAGCCGGGCATGGTGGTGTGCACCCCTAGTCCCAGCTACTGGGGAGGCTGCGGTGGGAGAATCACTTGAGCCCAGGAGGTCGGGCTGCAGTAAGCCTTGTGACAACGCCACTACATTCCAGCCTGCGTGACAAAGTGAGACCCTGTCGCACACAATAAATAAATAAATAAAAGTAATTAAAATTAGTTTCACTTGTTTTTTCTTCTTCTTCTTTTTTTGAGACAAGGTCTTCCTCTGTCACCAAACCTGGAGTGCGATGGTCTATTCATAGCTCACTGCAGCGTGATCTCCTGGGCTTAAGCCATCCTCTAGCCTCAGCCTCCAGAGTAGCTGGGACTACAGGCATGCACCACCATGCCTAGCTAATTTTTTGTAAAGACCAGGTCTCACTATGTTGCCCAGGCTGGCCTCAAACTCCTAGCCTGAAACAATCCTCCCATCTCAGTGCCACAAAGTGTGAATTACAGGCATGTGCCAGTGCACCTGGCCCTATTTCTTCTTCTGTGTGGCTATTAGAAAATTTAGTGGCTAGGTGCAGTGGCTCATGCCTGTAATCCTAGCACTTTGGGAGACCAAGGCAGGCAGATCACAAGGTCAGGAGTTCAAGACCATCCTGGCCAACATGATAAAACCCTGCCTGTACTAAAAATACAAAAATTAGCTGGGTGTGGTGGCACATGCCTGTAATCCCAGCTACTCGGGAGGCTGAGGCAGGACAATCACTTGAACTCAGGAGGCAGAGGTTGCAATGAGCCAGATCAGGCCATTGCACTCCAGCCTGGGGGACACAGCAAGACTCTGTCTCAAAAAAAAAAAAAAAAAAAAAAAATTTAAAATTACACGTGGCATGCTATATATATTATATATATATTATATAAGCATATTATCTATTATATATAAGCATATTTTATATATATATATATTTTTTTTTTTTTTGAGACAGAGTCTTGCTCTATCACCCAGGCTGGAATGCAGTGGCATGAACCCAGCTCATTGCCACCTCCGCCTCCCGGGTTCAAGCAGTTCTCCTGCCTCAGCCTCCTGAGTAGCTAGGATTACAGGCGCCTGCCACCACGCCCAGCTAATTTTTGTATTTTTAGTAAAGACAGGGTTTCATCATGTTGATCAGGCTGGTCTCGAACTCCTGACCTTGTGATCCGCCCGCCTCGGCCTCCCAAAGTGCTGGGAAGACAGGAGTGAGCCACGGTGCCCAGCCCGGCATGCATTATATTTTTATTTGACACTGCTATTGCAAAGCACTTGTAAGGTTTAGAAGCACCCTTGGGCTATTAGAAAAATTACTCTGGGAGGCTGAGGTGGGAGGATCGCTTGAGGCTAGAAGTTCCAAACCAACCTAGGCAACATAGGAGGACCCTGTCTCTACAGAAAATTTAAAAATTAGCAAGGCATGGTGGTGCGTGCATTTGGTCCAAGCTATTCAGGAGGCTGAGGTGGAAGGATTGCTTGAGCCTGGGACGTTGAGGCAGCAGTGAGCCAAGATTGCACCACTTACTGCACTCCAGCCTGGGCAACATAATGAGACCCTGTCTCTATTAAAAAAAAAAAAAATTAACTGGGCATGGTGGTGTGCACCTGTAGTTCTAGCTACTTGCAAAGTTGAGGCAGGAGAATCACTTGAGCCCAGTAGTTCCAGATTACAGTGAGTCATAATCATGCCACTGCACTCCAACCTGGGTGACAGAGTGGGAACCTGTCTCTAAAAAACAAAACACAACACAGGACATTTGCAGGGAATTATTCTTTATCCTCCAGCACTAAAAACTGCTTTCCGTGCTGAGCTCTCAAGTAAGGAAACAGGTGCTCGAAGACAGTGCTATTTCCTGGGCTGGGGCTGTGCTACGGGTGCTGTCACCCAGAAATCATTCTTGGGTGTTACAGTGGGTGAGGGAGACAGCGTAGGCCCAATTTCAGCCTGCAGCTCTAGGGAACAGAGACCACTGCCACCTATACTTCTCTACTCACTTGCCTTGTTCCCTGAAGTTTCTCTGGCAGATGGGTGATTGGGTGGGGAGAGGAGGATGCCACTTGCCCGGGGGCTTCTTGCCAGGAACTGAAGAAACACCAGGAAGAAGAACAACAATCGGAGAAAAAGCTCCAGCCACCTAAGAAGTCAAATGTGCCGCAACCACCAGTGGCGAAATTGTGGACATCACGGGAGCAACGACGGCCATTACAGCAGCAGCCATCGGTGCAGCCAACATCGCAGCCACCACCACAGCCATCACCACAGCCATCACCATTGCCACAGGCACAGGCGCAGGCGCAGGCACAGGCGTGGCCAGGGCCACAACCACCACAACCACAGCCACCACCTCAGCCAACACAACCAAGTGCTCAAGCCCGTTGTACTCAGCACGCCTCCAAATGCAATCTCCAAGATTCCCAAAGGCCAGGTCACCAGCCTACTTCAGTGGGAATCTATTAAGCTGGAGGGCAATCTCTGTATGAACAACAGATTCCAGGGTGGGCAGAAAATCCTTACAGACTCTGGACTGGAGCCTGGGAGTGGGAGGTGGTGAGGAGAGGAGCCCTTTGCTTCCATCCCAGCCCTGTAGTGCAGAATCCGTATCCACTACCCTACCCTCTCTGACTCTCCCAAGTACCGTCGGCCTTTAATGCCTTGCTAGTCAACTCCCTCTGGGTGGGTTTATGCCAACCTACAGCTGCAAAGGAGCCTTCCAACTTCTGCAGAGAGTGGCTGAGAAAGTTGTTGGCCCCTCTTCCAGAGTGAGTGTGACAGAGGAGGTGGCAGTGATCAGAGGGTGGGACAGGAGTTGTAGGCTTATTAACAGATATATTGAGCCCCGTGAAGTCTGGAACAGGGAACCACAGCACAGCTTCCTAGTTGAGAATCTTCAGGAAGGGCTCAGTCTGTACCCTATCCCAGGTAGGAGCCTGTCCTCACCGTACCCCCATCACCCCTGGGTCACCAGACACAAGCAGTCCAGGCTTGTAGTGTTCCATCCTTGGAAAACTGCTGGATGAGTAACCTGTACTTTGTTTCATCATCAGGTCTCATGAACCCATGCCAATCTAGCCCCATCAAAAACACTGGGTATTCACAACTCAAGGTAAGATAGAGACACAGACCCTGAAAGACAGACTCTGGGTGACTGAATGAATGAGAGAGAGAGAGTGAGAGAGAGAGAGAGAGAGAGAGAGTGAGTGTGTGTGTGTGTGTGTGTGTGTGTGTGTGTGTGTGTGTGCGTGTGTAGCCCAGAGAAACCTCCTTAGCAGGAGTAAGGGGAGGAAATTAGAATTATTTCACATTACTTTTGGACGGTCTATTCCTCTATTCTTTGCCCCCATTAAAAATGTTTTGATAGGAAGCTGGGTGCAGTAGTCCTGGCTACTTGGGAAGCTGAGACAGTAGTACTGCTTGAGCCCAGGAGTTCAGGTTCAGACTGGGCAATATAGTGAGATCCCATCTCAAAAAAAAAAAAAAAAAAAAACCAAAAAAATGAAAGAAAGCCAAGTGTGTGGTGGCTCATGCCTATAATCCCAGCACTTTGGGAGATCAAGGTGAGAGGACCGCTTGAGCCCAGGAGTTTGAGTCCAGCCTGGGCAACAGAGTGAGACTCGGTCTCAATAACAACAAAAATTTTTAAAAACTAGCTGGGCAGCCGGGCACGGTGGCTCACACCTGTAATCCCAGCACTTTGAGGCAGGCGGATCATGAGGTCAAGAGATCAAGACCATCCTGGCCAACATGGTGAAACCCCATCTCTACTAAAAATACAAAAATTAGCTGGGTGTGGTGGCACGTGCCTGTAGTCCCAGATACTCGGGAGGCTGAGGCTGGAGAATTGCTTGAACCCAGGAGGAGGAGGTTGCAGTGAGCTGAGATCGCGTCACTGCACTCCAACCTGGTGACAGAGTGAGACTTCGTTTAAAAAAAAAAATAGCTGGGCATGGTGGCACACACCTGGAGCCCAAGCTACTTGGGAGGCTAAGGTGAAGATTGCTTGAGCCCCAGAGGTTGAGGCTGCCGTGAGTGGTGATCACACTACCGCACTCCAGCCTGTGCAACAGAGTGAGACCCTCCCTGAAAAAAAAAAAAAAAGAAAAAATGCCTGGGTATGGATGGCCTATTGCTCAGCGCTATCCATAAAATGAGAATAATAGATGATACAACTTCCTCAACAGAGGGTCATGCGGACTGAATATGGCAATTATTAGTAAAGGAAAGGGGCCAGGCGCAGGGGCTCACGCCTGAAATCTCAGCACTTTGGGAGGCCGAGGTGAGCAGATTGCCTGAGCTCAGGAATTTGAGACCAGCCTGGGCAATATGCTGAGATGCCATCTCTACTAAAAATACAAAAAAATTAGCTGGCTGTGGTAGGGCGCATCTGTAGTCCCAGCTATTCGGGAGACTGAGGCAGAAGAATCACTTGACCCCTGGAAGTGGAGGTTGCAGTGAGCCAGAATCACACCACTGCACTCCAGCCTGGGTAAAAGAGCGATAAAAATAAATAGATAGATAGATAGATAGATAGATAAAGGAAAGAGCACTTAGCTTGGAGTCCAGCTCACTGTAGGCCATTAAACTCAGGATGACAACCTTTATTTATTTATTTATTTTTTTTGAGACAGAGTCTGACTCTGTTACCCAGGCTGGATCTCAGCTGCACTCCACCTGCAACCTCCACCTCCCGGGTTCAAATGATACTCCTGCCTCAGCCTCCCGAGTAGCTAGGATTACAGGCATGTACCACCACGCCTGGGTAGTTTTTGTATTTTTTAGTAGAGATGGGGTTTCGCTATGTTGGCCAGGCTGGTCTCAAGTGATCTACCCGTCTCAGCCTGCCAAAGTGCTGGGATTACAGGTGTGAGCCACCACGCCTGGCCTGGATGGCAACTCTTAACAAGAATATATAATTGTGCAAGGCGTTAGAAAGGTGTCTCTGACAGAGGTGCAACAGATGAAAGAACCTGATGCTAGCACTTCTAGGATGAGGACTGGGCTGCTACATTTCACTTTGATTCCTCTGGCCTCACAGGATTTCACAGTGTTCTGAAACCAGAAGCTGCTAACTTGTTTTGTTTCCCGTCTCTTCCTCTTCTCAGTCTACCAACTACATACAGCAGTGGTGACCCAGAGATTGAACCCGAGACCCCAGTGGCCATCCCCAAACTGCAGATGAGCAGCCACATCTTCTCAGCATCCAGCAACATCTCCACTTCAAAAGCCACCCACTCTAGAAGAGGTGGCTGCCAGGAATAAAACGTAATTCTTTTCCTGGGAGGAATCACAGCACTGGTCAGCTTTATGAGACAGGGATGAGAGGAAGCAGGCAGGAGGACTCACGAAGGGGATGGAGAGGGTGGAAAGAGAGTGGAAGACAAGTTTATGCTTCTCTAGGCAAAGCCAATGGGAGAACTGGGTCTTGGGTCCCCTGCAAGTATGCAACTCCTACTACTATCACTACCTGCCCTCATTCAGCAGTGATAAGTCTGTCAGGGGTTTCAGTTTGTGACTGTCACTGGAGCCATCACTCATTCCCCCAAGCCCATGCTTACTGAGATACAGCCTGGGGAAGGAGGGGTCGCATCACATCAGAGCAGGCCTGCAGCAGCAGAAAGTGGTTGCAGGCAGTGATGCTCCCCACCTCCAAGCCCAGTGCAATGTCTGGCCTACAGTGGGCACTCAGCCGTCAAATGGATGATGGGGGCAGGGATGGAGAGAAAGAGCTTGGAGGAAAGTGGGGGCTATAGCCTCAGGAACATGACACTTGACCCTGGGACGGGGAGGGAGGTTTGCCTTCTAAAACCCACAGCCCTCTTCCTTCCTGGCTCTCAGCCTCTCCATCTAGCGACAACCAAGAGATTCACCAGCCCAAGGTGAAGGAGTGGGTAGGGCTGGGAGACCCTGGGTGTTAGACTTCAGGAAGGTGCAAGCCCTGGGAAGGCCTTTCTTCCTCCATGCTGAGAAAGGCTGCCTCAGTCACCTCAATCACAAGCCCCATCCAAGGGATTAGCTGGGTATTTCATTGTAGCCTACATAGCATTGCCTTTGGTCTGAAGGGGCCATTTCAGTGCAACCCACGAAATTTCCTGATGAGAGCAGCTGGGGAAGATAACGGGATGGTGGGGAAGATAACAGCACAGAACAGGAATAGTAAAATTGGAAGAGACTTTAGAGATACACAATGGGAGCAAGAGGAAGAGAGTGAGATCCTGTGAGCAATCTCATGGAAAATAGAAGGGCAGGACATATCATCAGCGGCCCAGAGGCCCGGGGAAGAGACCTTGCTGTCCGTTAGAACATTACAGTTTCGGCCAGGTGCAGTGGCTCATGCCTGTAATCCCAGTACTCTGGGAGGCCGAGGCGGGTGGATCACTTGAGGCCAGGAGTTTCAGACCAGCTTGGCCAACATGATGAAACCCTGTCTCTACTAAAAATACAAAAATTAGCTGGGTGTGGTGGTGCATGTCTGTAACCAAAACTACTCAGGGAGTCGAGGCACGAGAATTGCTTGAACACAGGAGGCAGAGGTTGCACTGAGCCAAGATCACGCCACCGCACTCCAGCCTGGGTAACAGAGTGAAACTGTCTCAAAAAAAAAAAAAGAAAAGTTTGTGAAATAAGGAGTATCCTAGGGAGTATTCACTAGTGCCCTTCCCACTCCCAGGAGACTTTTTTGAATATTCTTAAGTATAGTTTATTGAATACAATATAAATACTCCACATTTGGCAGTCTATACACAACAGCTCCAGCCTGGCTTCCCTGGACTTTTGCGCTCTTGCCAGCACCACCTTGACCTCAGCTTGGAGACAGCACAGTCTCCTTCCTTCCCCTTGTTCCCCTAGTTACCAAGTTCTGTCACCACTTCTCCCTCTTTCCATGCATCCTACTTCAAATTTAGCTTTCCCTGCTCATCTTTTTTTTTTTTTTTAAAGAGAGTCTCTCTCTTGTTGCCCAGGCTAGAGTGCAGTGGTGCGATCTTGGCTCACTGCAACCTCCGCCTCCCGGGTTGAAGTGATTCTCCTGCCTCAGCCTCCTGAGTAGCCGGGATTACAGGCGCATGCCACTATGCCCGGCTTCTTTTTTTTTTAAACAGGGTCTTGCTAATGTTGCTGCTCTTGTAAGACTTGAACTCCTGGGCTCCAGAGATCCTCCCACCTCAGCTTCCTGAGTAGCTGGGACTACAGGTGTATACCACTGCACCCAGCTGTAAGATCAAGCCACCTTTAATGAGCAAATATCCTTCCTGTTCTGCTAAAGTACAGAAACCTTTCTACTGGGAGCCAGTGGGAAACCAGGGGTTATCTGGGGCTTAGCCCTAGCTGAGTGACAGGAAAGGGAGGGTCTAGACCAGTCCCTGCCGATGTGCTGCTCCACATTGTCAAAGCCCAAGGAAGGATGAGGCCTCTGGGACCAGAGTGGGCCCTGGTGCTAAGGTGGTGGTGGAACAGAACCCAGCAGCCTCAGCTGGATACTGATAGCTTCATCTCCTGCAGGCTTTCAGATGAGAGCAGCTGGGCCCACCGTTTGACCTGCCTGTGTCTACTCACATGGGCTCAGGATGTGGACTTACAGGTTCTCCTTCAATAAATATCTTATACAATGATTCTGCCTTTGACTCTGTTTTTCCTGTGCAGACCCACAGAGTGCCAGGTGCCTCCCTCCCCTCCTCTACTATTTTGGCTCCTGCTATGAAAAGAATAGTGAAACTGCTTTATAGAGAGGAGAAGCTTTAGCTGGAGAACAGCTGTCTTCCTAGGAACCAGGGACAGTCAATAACCAGAAAGGACAGAGGGCTAAGGGGCCTTGGCTCATCTCTCAGATGGGTGGCAGACAAGTTACCAGAGAGAGAGAGAGACTGTCACTTTTTCACATGGTCAAAGCAGACAGGCACAGGAAAGCATCTATGATCCCCAGAAAGTCCTTGGAGATGGCACTGGATGTCCCCAAATTTTCTTATCAGAGAGTAGAAAACTTGAAAAGGGTCTCTTTTTTTTTTTTTTTGGAGACAGAGTTTTGCTCTTTTGCCCAGGCTGGAGTGCAGTGGCATGATCTTGGCTCACTGCAACTTCTGCCTTCCGGTTTCAAGTGATTCTCCTGCCTCAGCCTCCGGAGTAGCTGAGATTACAGGCGCACGCCACCACACCCGGCTAATTTTTGCATTTTCAGTAGAGACAAGGTTTCACCATGTTGGCCAGGCTGGTCATGAACTCCTGACCTCAAGTGATCCATCCACTTCGGCCTCCCGAAGTGCTGGGATTACAGGCATAAGCCACTGCGCCCAGCCGGCAGGTCTATGTTTTAAAAGCCAGATAAAACTACAGCTCTCTCCCCATTCAGACAGGACGGCCAGCCCTGATGGAGCTGGGGTGAAATGGCCCCTTCAGACTCACCAGGTGCTCAGTACAGAAAGGCCAGGTGCCACTCCAGGGAATCTAAGGTGCCTCAAGAAGATGCCAGGTCAGATTTTCCTGAAGGAAGACCAGCCAGGCACAGTGGCTCACATCTGTAATCCAAGTGCTTTGGGAGGCCAAGAAGGGAAGATCGCTTGAGCCCAGGAGTTCAAGACCAACCTGGGCCAACAGTGAGACTCTGTCTCTACCAAAAAAAAAAAAAAAAAAGACTAACCAAGGGCAGAATCTGACGGCAGCCCCTGAAAGAATCTGGGGGAAATTGGAGGATATGAGTGTGTGTGTATGAAGTTAACTTCAAAGCAAGCTTCCTGAGCGGGTGGGAGGTAAGGGTGTGATGAAGCAGGGCTTCTCCTTTGGCAAAGCCTCTGTAGTCCTTCCTTAGTCACCAGGGAGTTGTGGGAGATAAAGACCAGGGTTGCAGGTGCCTGGAGTACAGGGACAGCAGACAGGTCATGGTGGGTGAGGGGTCAGCTGGTGGGGCACCGATGCGTTTCCTCGGCAGTCCACATACTCATAGCTCTGGAAGACCAGCTGCTCTGAATGGCTCAGGTATGAGCAGGTCAGGGTGCCCCTGGAGAGGAAGCAGGCCTTGTTGCCATGGCTGGAAGGAAAATGAAAGCTCCGGCCCCATTATACTGTCTGGGGGTGGAGAGTTGGGGGCTCCCTCATTTTTCCCTTCCCTCTGGCTCCCCACTCTGCCAAGGTACCTGGGACAGCTGCCCCACCTGTTTTCCAGCAGCTTCCAGACAGCCCTATGCCTGTTGCCCCTAATAGTTTATAGGCAAGGTGAGACTTAGAAAAGGGGCTAGACTTGCTATTCCCAAGAGCCAACAAAGATTCATGGGGTCAGCTTGCATGACTCTGCCCAGAAGGTGGAGCTGAGTGAAACTGAAGTCAGAAGTGACAGCAGGGACACCAGAGCTCCAAGCTCTACTTACTGGATGTGCAAAAGCACATGGTGGACTTTGATTTCCAGCCAGGTACAGATTTTGCTGAGAGAGAAGAAAAGACAACGTGGGACCACATGTCACATGGAGCAACCTGTCAGCTCAGAAGATGCCTGCAGGTCCCAGTTTCCTTACCCCACACAACCCCTTCCTTCCATCAGGTGCCCCCAATGTGCCACTTCCACCCTTTCCCACCCTTCAGGTCAGTGTGGCAGCGTGGCTGCACTATCACTCTGACCTCCACTCACTTGGCCCAGGCACATGCTGGACCCCCCCTCAGGAGAAAAACAAAACATTCATCTTCCTCAGCAAAGCAGGCTGAAGAGCCCAAGGTTACATATTGTAGAGATTAACCAAATTCCAGCCTGTTTTTCATTCTAATCAAGGTCCAAACAAGCAGAGGCTGGGGACCCTGAACCCTTGCTTATTACATCCTTGGCCATGGGAGGGCAGTCCAGATGCTGGCTGAAGAATCTGCTAAGCAATCAGGAAAGCTGGTGGGTATTAAGTGGGTTCCTAAGCCAGGCAAGCGGCTAGGGAAGAAGAGATCAAGGGGTACTCACTACGTGTTTTCATCCGGTATCTTGGTGGCTACTGTGTAAAACATCTGTCAACCAAATGGGCACAGGGTTAGCCCTGACTCCAGTTGCCCCTTTCCCACCACCACACATCCACACGCTGGTGGGCAGGGCTGGCCACGGAAAGGGGAGTCACCTGTTCACTGGTCAAAGGGCCAATGTGTAGGAGAAGGTTGTTGGAAACCTGCCCCACCACGAGGGATAGGTGCAGAACCTCGAGGGTCAGCTGTGTCACCGTAATGGGGTAGTAGTTGCCATTGGAGATGTTTAAGACATTCTGGGGATGAAGACAAGGGAAAGGAGGACTGAAGATGGCCCATCCTTAGGAAAAGCCAAACAGTTGCAAAAGCCTGGCTGTCTGGTCTAAGCCCCATCTACCATGACAAGCTTCAGGTGCAGAGGATCAAAACCAGGAGCCCCGTGGAGGGGCATTGAATGGTGAGGGATCTTTACGAAGTTAAGCTGGCTCAGGATCCAGGCCCACCCTGTATGACTTCTTACCATTCAGTCCTGTCCATCCAGAGAGTCTCAGGCACTGTCACCCCACTCCACCCCTATGATTTATCTATCTGGTCCAGATTCTGACCCCTTACTGTGTAGAGTCCCAACCTTTACGATCTGTCATGGAGCTCATGGTTGCTCCTACTTCTCTTCAGGCTCCCAACACCCTCTGGGTGCCATAAGATCCCTGGCTTCCCATGCCCAGGGTCACAACGCTGGACAAAGTTTACAGTGAAGTATTGCTGGGAAGGAGGGGTTGGAGCCCAAGGGCACCCACCCACCGTTATGTTGAGGTAGATATCAGCCTCATCAAAGGCCACCGTGGAGGAGTTGAGGCCTGCAGGCTGCACAACGACGGACCGGGGAAACAGGAAAAAGATGATGAAGGAGGAGGTCACCAGGCAGATGAGCACGGCCAGGAACACAAAGAGCTTCCTGTGTGAAAGCAGGATCCAGGATGGAGGAATGGAAAAGTCTGAACACCAAAGAAACTCGGGGAGGAGGTTCAGACACTCCTCTCCATACACCAGGCTTTCCCCTGCACACTACCCCAACATCATTTAGCTCCCCAGATGTGGCCCGGAATGAGTAGGGGCACAGGATTGGCAGGCAGGCAGCCTGGTTTCCACTCCCAGCTCTCTGTTCCCATTGACCCAATAACATGGAGCAGCCCACTTAATCTCCTTAAGTCTCGGTTTCCTTGTTGGTAAAAGGCAGATAATTGTACTGACCTCATAGAATTTGTTATCGGCTAATATATGAAAAAATACTAATCACAGGTCCCTGCACATGGCAAAAGCATGATGAATGCTAGTTATTATCACTAGAAGAAGTAAGTCCATATTTGGAAGTTCTGAATTTTAACATTCAGAACAGGACACTATCCATCCATCTAATTCAAAATTCAGATACGCATTAAAGAGATAAGTACTTTGTTAGTATCTTATGATGGGCACGGCTAATTTCTTTTTTTTCTTTTTTTTTTTTGAGATGGAGTCTTGCTCCGTCACCCAGGCTAGAGTGCAGTGGCGCGATCAACATCCTGGGTTGAAGGGATTCTCCTGCCTCAGCCTCCCAAGTAGCTGGGATTACAGGCACCTGCCACTGTGCTCAGCTAATTTTTGTATTTTTTAGTAGAGATGGGGTTTTGCCATGTTGGTCAGGCTGGTCTCGAACTCCTAACCTCAGGTAATCCTCCTGTCTTGGCCTCCCCAAACTGCTGGAATTATAGGCATGAACCACCACACCCAGCCTGATTTCTTTTTTTTTTTTTGAGACAGAGTCTTGTTCTGTCACCCAGGCTAGAGTGTAGTGGCGTGATCTCAGTTCACTGCAAGCTCCGCCTCCCGGATTCACACCATTCTCCTGCCTCAGCCTCCCGAGTAACTGGGACTACAGTCGTCCGCCACCAAGCCCAGTTAATTTTCTTGTATTTTTAGTAGAGACGGGGTTTCCCCATGTTGGCCAGGATGGTCTCGATCTCCTGACCTCGTGATCCGCCCACCTCGGCCTCCCAAAGTGCTGGAATTACAGGCGTGAGCCACCGCGCCCGGCCTTGCCCAGCCTGATTTCTAATTCTGGTATAGTGGGGTGGCGGAGAGGGTTTGGCTTGGTGGTGACTCCCAGGTTGAAACCGGGACCTTAGGAGGAGGTTGAGGGAGTTCCATGTCAGATAGACTCAGATCACACACAGTAGGCCCCAGGGCTGCCTGAGGTTCTGAAGTATCCCAGAACAGCAGAAAATAGGTTTTTCACCTCTACTGGGAGAAGAACAAGCAAGTCTGAACTGCCTCAGCAAGGGAACTGCTTAAGAAAAATAATGTTTTCAAATCAATTGCAGCCAGGGCCACATGCTTGTTCCCTCCTTCCTGGGAGGACTTGCAGAGCTACCAGATCCTTCCTGTCTTGGAGAGGGTGCCATGCTTCCTGGAAGCAGTGATGCTTAAGGAAGGCCACCTGGTGTCCTCAAGTGACATCTGCTGCTGCTGCTGCTGCTACTTTTTTCTTTTTTTTTTTTTTGGTAGAGATGGGGTTTCACCATGTTGCCCAGGCTGGTCTTGAACTCCTGAGCTCAAGTGATCTGCCTGCCTTGGTCTCCCAAAGTGCTGGGATTACAGGTATGAGCCACCACACCCGATCCAGGAGCTTCTAAATCAGGAAAAAATT